TTTCTGAATACTATTGGCGTATAGTTTTTTTTTGAATTTCACCTGTATTCTGAAATTTACTGCTGTGGCCATGAATGGAATCGCAACAGAGCTGCTGAGAAAGCACAACAAACGAATGGCACATTTTTCTGCGCGCTGATGAAACATGAATTGTATCGCGGAAAAGCGAACGTGGTATCCAGCACACTACAAGCGCTGGAGTAGAAAGTAGCAGATGAAACGCGGAAAGCCCCCTAGGTGCATGCGCTTTGTTTCCTAATCTCTCCGACAGTTTGCGTCTCGCGGGCAGCCAGCCACACGTTGCCGTGATCCCTCCAAAAGTGGACCATACTGTACATCTCTAGCCCCGATAGCAGTCTGTAGACTGCTTTGACCTTTGTTTGCCGTTATCATGTCATGGTCTTATGTGCCTGTTTCATGTGCCTGCCTACATACCTTTCAGGTCAGAAATGTCTTTACATTAAACCTCATTGTACGCTCAGCAGTTGCAGTGAGCATATAAAGAGTTTATGGCACGCCCTCTCCCTCCAGCTTGTGTTGACACTACTTGTTCAATGAAGGTTAGTTGTTTTTCGGGCCTCAAAGTGTAAGTGGCAGATGTTCACACTAGCACAATAGCAAAAAATACTAAGAGCCGATGTGCTTGCGAAGCATTTCTTCACAATAAGCTGCCGGAGAACTTATCGCAATGCTTGGGCCCACCTTGCCTGAAATTTGAATGTATAATGGTCATTGCGAAGAGCTCAGCAAACTTTTTTTTGTTTGCTCACTCATCTGCTGCTAGGGGCACATATTTCTTCCTTAAAATGTACTTCGCAATATCAAAGATGGTTGTTTATGAGACAGTGTTTGGGCCACAATAGTCAGGTGATGTGTGTACTGATTACATTTGCAGTGGGCCTAACCTTGTTAAATCTTGCTTCTCCAAATTGTGACCTCGGTATGTCCACATTGGTAGGCTTGTGGAAATAGTGAATTATAGGTTCAAAATAAATTCGAAGTGAATTGTATGCCTTTTCAGTCTCCTGGATTGTACGGGAGACTCGCAGATTTCGACCGTTTCTTCCTTTAGTACGGTTGTCATGAAAATATCCCGGAAATTGAAATTTCTGTGCATGTCCTGGCTGCATTGTCAAAAATGCAGGTCGATGCGCTCTAGGAGTTTTGCGAAACCCACTGCACTTTATTATAAACGAATTTAGGAGGCGTTCATCTAAACGTACAGTAGAATCTCAATGTTGCAAAACTGTGGCAGAAAGAATTCGCAAAATTCCCCAGCCAAATTTTACGGTGTTCATTAGGCCTAAATTCATACGTTCCGAAGACATTTCCTAATCGTAGCGGGTGATAAAAACAGTATTGGAACCGTCCAACGAATGCCAAGAGCAGTGTGCTCGAAGCTTGAGAAGTATGTGTGCGACCAGCGCACGCACTGCCTTCTACAGTGGGTGTGGTTGTGATTGTCACAACCGCTGTGGCCCAAAACTGTGAACGTTCTTGACACAACCATGTATGGCTACAACGTAACTGACAGAACTCGGAAAGTGTGTGCGCGTTCAGTGTTCGACCAGTCAAAGGAACGCTGCTTTCCTCTAACTTTGTGAACAAAGTTGTGGCAAGTACGATCATAGATAGCATAAAACGACCCATAAAATAGTTTTGAAGGCACGTGCGTAGCCAGCGCTCGCAGGTTGAAAACGTAACTACCATTTGCCGCAACTGCCGTGCTCAAAACCACGGTCACAGCAACGCAATAGCGATCTACGAGCTCCGAGGGCACGCGAGTAACGCTGCGGTAGATTAAAAGCAGTGAAGACGAAAAAGAGGCGAGAAGTGCTTTGGCATTCCTGTCAAAGTAATCTAGTACCGAGCAAAGCACTGACCTGCACTTTCATGGCAGCCTGCTGCACCATCCCGTTCGTTCACGTGCGTTGTAGGAAAATATACGTGAGTTGTTTTGAAAAGAATAGATTTCGCTAGTAGTTTTGATGATGCTAAATTTGGTAGTATTTGCGCTCCTCCTTTGAGACTCGTGCCTTAGTGGGAAACCCTACCCTCGTGTTCAGCCACTCCGAGCTATTTTAAGACCGCAAGGCCAATGTTTCCACTGGTGATTGGTACCCCCTTCCTTCTTTTGGTTTTCCTAATGTTTTTTGTTGTTTTCTTTTGGTGCCGAAGAGATGGGGGAACATAATTTAGTGCAATATCCCCCCCCCCCCTACATTGCAAAAATCTCCCGGATTCAGAGTTCTTGAACTTGGCAGGTATGGAATAGTGATTTCGGTCATATAATTTTCAATCTAATTCAAATACAGTCAAACACCTTTATAAGAGACACTGATATAGGAGACAAATCAGTATAAGAGACAGCAGTATGCCTATAGTAAAATATGGGGGATAAGAAAATGCATTCGAGGTCTCCTGCTTTTGAAGGAGACATCTTGTTCGAAAAGCAATTGCTGCCCGGAGCCTGCCTTTTATGAAGGGGTCTAACTGTAGTATATATATCATACATACGGAAAAACGGGCATATTTTTTGTGACCTACCTAATGCGTACAATCTTTTTTAAAAGCTGAAACAAGTCTTGTGCAAATGCCAATTTTTTTTTTTGTTCAAGGTATGAAAAAACAACATTTAATAGTCGTAGTATTTGACTTGTGGTAGAATGCAAGTGGTAACCTGCAATATATGTTATGTTTTATTAAAACTTCCCGCACTTAGAGCGCATTAGTTGGTATAACAAGCTCTTAAACTCGAAAAATGATGAATCGATGCAAAAGCAATATGTTCATTTAACGTTGAAGTGTTGAAGTGGGGCCTTGTGGCAGTGCGGATTTTTTCTGGATAAGTGTTTTCACGGCTTAGCCTTTTTTTTATTGCAGTGAAAACATCTTTTCAGGGAGTTACATGCAGTTAATACCAGGGCTGGGCAGAGATACCCGAAAGTGTTCCGAAATACAGATATCGAAATACACGGTGTGGAAGCCTAAAATACAGATACTGAGATACATTTATAATTGACGTAACGGGATATTTCAGAAATACATTGCAAAAACTGAAACACTATTCTCTATGTCGGGGATAGTCATACTTCGTACAGACATTTGTTATTTGCAGCATAGTATTTATAATGCGCAGCGCATTTATTTTATTCATTATTTTGTCACCGTAGTCCGAGTTCAATTAAAGCATTACAAAGAGGCTTACACTGCAAATAATTGTTAATAATCACATATTTACAGATATCAGTTGCTATAGAAAACTATGCTGTATGAGAGCAAGTCGCATGCATTGTACACCGAAATCGGAATACTTGGAGGCAACACTATTAGCTATGCTAGAAGTAGCACAGTTCAAGTGAAGGGCTGGAACCATAAACAAACAAGGCAAGAAAAGGTATGTTTTTATGTAATACAAGTCTGTTTGTTGAAACATTTAGCACGTCAATTGCACTTGAGGAGCAGTAGCTTCTAAAATAGGCCGTTATCTAGACATCGTCATTTTGGCCTCAACACAACACTTGCGAACGAGAAAAGTCGCTCTACTGCTGCAGAGGAGCACAAATTTGTGTTATAGTGGATACAGTTCGCATCGATACAATGAGTGCAGTAAGCATAGTGCATCAGCAAGCAGTGCCTAAAATGCGGAGCCAGTGCTGTCGGAGTTGTACCACCACTTTAACATAGGTACTTTGCCTGTTAAGGTTTTGAAATTGTAAGGAGTACGTCAATGAGTTACCTAAAAAGCAATGTATCACCACTAACCCCGTTATTTGTAACGCGCTATGGCTAATCCTGCACGAACACACCGGTCAGCATGTGTCTCTGACAAAAAAAAAAAGAATAGAAATTAAGGCTCCTGAATTCCTTGCTGCCACTGTAACGGCGGGGCTTACTGCTCAGTAGACTAGCGGTTCAGGCTAGTTGGTTTCCAGTTCTGCTAAAGGGGCCTAGCGCAAAGCAAGACAGAAACACATAAACAATGAAGACAAGCACTTGCGATTCCAGTTGAAGGTTTAGTGTTTCCTAAAAACACAGAAAAAGCAGAAAGAACGAACACTACAATGAATGCAAAAGTAAACGCAAAAAGACCTCCTTCCGATCGCCGTGTGGCTACCCCAGCGTATTCCGGCAATGCTTTGGAGAAAGGAATATCGTTGATGGCACACGGCACCACACACTGAATTCTTTGAGTGGTTTGTGGCTTCCCCGATAAGCTCATTCAATTGGCATGAGGGACACATTTTAAAACGACTCTGTTGGTTGGCGCCCATTGTGCAGTATACAATGCTGCTCATAATGAAAATACCGCTGCTGGAATTCGAAATGGCAGTATAACAGTGTTGTGAAGCTCAAGCAGGCATTCAAACACATTCTAGTTCTGCCTGAAGGTGCACAATAAGATGCAGGTAGTGAAGCGACTAGCTCACGTTTAGGAAGGTAGGAGTCAGTTTCACCCTCAGCAGAAATTTAGATATGGTGAGTGCATATCTCGCCACGGACTGTCAAGGTCACAGCAGTAAAAAAACATTTTCCAATTGTAAGCACGTCTTGGCTCACTTCAGAAAAAAAGTAACGAGATACCCATCTTCTGGATAGTATCGAGATAGGGGCGATACATCGTAAAATATTTTACTAGTGAGATACAAATACATTTTTGAAAAGTTTCTTGATACAGTAATACAGCTACTCAAAAGTATCTGTGAAGCACTATCGCGATACCCTTGTATCGCGATACTGCCTGGCCCTGATTTAATACATACACTTGGGTCGGTGCTTTCAAGGCTTACAACTTTTATCTTGCAGTCAAACCAGGTTTACAGGAGGTTACATGTGAACCAATATTAAATAGACGTAGTCGATCATTTCTAATACTTTGAAATTTCCAATTGAAGTGAACTGAAATTCGGAATATTTGCACAAGCCTTCACATTGGAGGTTAGAGATTTGTATCTGAAAATGGGCAGTTCTTTCTTCCTCTTTTCTTTTTTCTCTTTCAGTGGGCTCATCCAGAAGAGTCTCTGATAACGAATGCCAGGCAGCCGTCATTGATTGATGGGAATTTCAGCTGTATATTGCCATCGGTGGCATTCGGCCATGAAGAGCTGGTAAGTTCCATTGTTTTGTTAGTACTACTTGAAAGTGTGCACTCTTACCAGGTGGAAATTACACATGCGGTAACTTTGTTGAACTTACCCATGAATATCCTCGGGATGCAGTTGAAATGCAGTGCTCACTGCTTGTGCTTTTTTTTTTGTCCTCGTCTTCTTGCACAGAGTACAGTGCTAGGTCAGTGAAAGGTGAGGTGCAGACGCTAGTGTTCTGTGGTGTTAAGGAGTGCAACACCTGCGCCAATTTTATTCAATTCCCAGTTTTTGCGCTGAGCTGCACCCAAACCACAAAATTCACTGAAATCGCGCCACGGTGCTCCAAAATGCCCGACCAGGCTTGAAACATTTTTAGTTGTGCTACTTTCGGCGAGAAATGGAGGGCATGTTGGCCACCTGCAGTTTGCGACATCAATCAATCCAGGGATCCAGGTGCACACACTCCAAGCCTAAGCTAGTTTACTAGGATAGGGGAGTGCGCCGAATGACCGTAGCACCAATGCACAGAAAGTGCAGGCCAAACAGAGTCAATCCGCATGCGGAACTTCAGTTGGTAGTCTACGGTTTGTGGTCGCTTTAAGAGCTGTGCGCGGCTTTGCTGAGGTGTTCGAGGGGCAGAATTCACGCTTGCCCCTCAAAAGACCCAGGAGCTTTGGGTGGTAAATTTTTATTCTTTGGGTCACTTGGACTGCTGTGTTGGTTTCCTTTTTTTGAGCTTCAGTTGCCACATATTTCTACCAGAAATTTCACGAATTATGAAGTAACTAAAAAGTTTGACAGCAAGGGTATTCATTTGAAGCACCACCGCACGGGATTAAGTAAAAACTTCATATTTCACGTAACTTTTCGTAGCAATGCATAGTAACTGAAGCTAGATTTAAAAAAAAGGGTAGATCTCATGTACAGTGGGAATCGATGATATGCGAAGCATGAAATAGGAAGATTGATAGGCCACTTTAAAATCTCCACAACGCTATGAGGTGGAGGTAAATTATGCCTTACAGGACTTTCTTGTCATGATTATCGTGTTTGGGTGTGTCGTTCACCTTCGTCATCTATTCACGTCACATGATGCCGAATTTAATATATGCGACGCTATGATGACTGGGAGACGTGGCCTGGCTCATACGCCATGTTTATTTCATTCTGACTTCTTCCTCATCTACTTCTTTTAACCATCCGTGCCTTCTTGCGATACAGGATTCCCCCTCCCCCCGAAAGATGGCACTGGTTACAAACTACAACAAATTAAAGAAGAGAATAAACAAAATAATGGCCAAATTCACAGTTTCACAATCTCACTAAATCTTCATAGCCAAGGGAGCAGTCCCGTGATTTCTCTGAAGACTCTGGTGATTGAGCTTGACTGTTAAGTCCTGGACGGCATAATCACACCCTCGAAATCTGAACTGGTGATGACATCGGTTGAGTTTTTCTGAGGAACGGACAACGTTGGGATTGCCTATAGCATTTGAAGTTGGGATATCGTCGGGGTTGTATTTTTCGTCGTGAATGGTGCAATCCCAGTGCGTCTTGCTTTCTTGCTTTTTGACAGACTGGGATGAAGTGCCTGAGTGCTTGCGCTGTGCAAGCAGTGCTTCCGCGTCTTTTTCGGCGTTTTCTGTGGTGGTGCAGTAGGTGTAAAAGCTGGGGCAGGAAGTGTCTCTGGTGACTTTTTTTTGTGCGAAAGTGTCTGACGTCTTGAATTGGTCTTGGTTTAGAGATCTTATTTTTTGATGTTCTTCAATTGTTGAGTGCACTTCCGTTGAATTTTGCTTTCGTCGATGCCCTCATTGCAGTCTCTCTCGTTGTTTCCCGAGTTTGTGAGCTTGGCTTTGCTTGTTTTGCTGGTGCTACTCAGGAGATGGCTGTAGTGGCGCCCCTTCTGGAATTGGGCATTCATTTCTTCCAAAGTTTGACGCGTGCTGTAGACAGCTGATACATGGTGAACTGGTGTCTTGCTTATCGGGCATAGTTGGTAATGCGCCATCATTGCTAGCATGCTCTTTAAAGGCTTCGGTAAGGTGGTCCAGTATGCAAGCTTCTGACGGACAGCTGCATGTAAAGTATGTGCTATGTAGATAACTCTCCCGGTACAGCGGTCTGTAGCAGTGAGCACCTCATCCAAACTTTATTGTTAGCAGCAATTTTGTAATGGTTCTCCAAATTTTGCTCACAAATCTTGTGTAAAAATTGAATATTTAATATAAAGTCAATATCCGAGCTTCAGAGAGTCAAGCGGGCTTCACGGCAATCACCGAATGTGTTCTAGAGAGCTTGGCCATACACTAAAATGCTGGATAACTGGGAGGCATTAAAGCAACTATTTAGCAATGAGCTGTGCTGATTTTACTGCTTGAGCAGGATATAAACGTATGCATTCATCGTTTAAGAGTGTGCAATTTTTCAGAACAGTCTGAAAAATCGCACGTAAGCTGTTGTTTACGTTGCGGAAGTTCCTATAGTAAAATTTCTGTGCAAATCAAAATGTTTGAAAGTTAGAATGTTCACATATTTCTATTTTCATCACGTTAGTGACAACATTCAAATGTTCTAATTGGTTTGGCGCGACAAGTCCTAACTCTTTTGTTACTGCACGAAAATGGTTGTTTTTCATATGTCTCTGGAAAATCGTTTTTGCCAGTTAGAAAAGTGCTCCAGCATGCATTGCAGCATACCAAACTTCGCACAGTGAAATGCTGGTTCCGAAAAATATATGTTGTAGAACAAGAAAATACTTAGAAAATACTTCAGAATGAATAAAAATGTGAGAAGTGTGTAATTTTTGGTCGTTACCTGGTAAACAATGCAAAAAAAACACTATATATACAAAAATATTCAAAACAAAGGAAATTCAGAATATAGGTTTTGTAGATAAATTGCCCAGGAAAAATAGTCAGTGTTGTACAATATATTTCTCTTCACATAAACAAAGAAAATCAGAACCAAGGTGTTGCTCCATCGCTCACTCGTGCAATGCAGTGAAATATTATATGGTTTTTCTTGAGGCACAAGTGTACTCGTACACTTTTCCCTGTAAATTTTTGTTGTCTTGTGATAAGAGTCTCCAGGTGTTCCAATATATAGATGGATACCCATGATGTGAATAATCTCTCTGTGTAATGAGGCGTCCAATGAACTTCACTATTTTATCTAGCGTCACCTCTCTCCATGAGCCACCTCACTCCGCATAGGTTGGCGTTTCAATATATGCATCCAAGCATATTTACTTTCATTTTCGTGCATATTGTATTAAAAAAAGACAATATCGCACGCAGTTCTAAAACATTTCACACTGCTTCATAGTCGGGGCCAAGATGTGCTCCAGGGGCCTTCTTGTCATTAGGAAAAGCTCCGCAGCCAGCGCCAGCACGCTGCCCTCCAGCAAAAGGTGGACCACACACGTAACCAGAGTAGCTATAAGATTGCGCACAAAGGTCAGAAGCTATATGCAGTTACCGCGGAGAAGACAACTTGAGGATGTGAACAAGAGAAATTTATGAACGGCTGTGGATGTCTCAGGCTGATGTAATACATCGTGACAATAAAACTTAAAGCTGAGGTGCTGTTATCCTTGAACTCTAAGGTCATCCTCACTCAATTCAGGTGGGGTTGCTAGACAGTTTCAAACAGTGCATGTGTTTTGTAGCGCTGGTGCGCACCCATGTGCGTGTCGTCATGACAACTATATAGGAACGCCTAGTGGCACTAGACGCAACCCTGTGTCTGATATAACAATGCAAGCAAAGCTGAAGCTGCTGGAAACTGTCATAGAAGGCCACCAGGACACTTTAAACATGTGGCAGACCTTTGCAACACTTTTTTGTAGAACAAATTTTCTCTAACTTCCAAGAACAGCTCTCTATTGAATATCTGACATATATTTCTGGCAATATTACTGCTTAACATAGTCAAATTAAGAAGCTGACACTTTAATTCAAAATTTGGCTTGCAAAGGTTCTTTTCATTATAGAACTTCGATGTTACTGTAACCAACATTTTTAGAACTAGTTAAGTTGCAAAACTAAGCCATGTTGCATGGCGCCGCCACTGCCAGAGACAAACATGACGCTGCTGTCGCATCCGGATTCACTCGCAGCATGCTCGCTCGTGTCACTCCCGTACTAACCTTCGTCGGCTGTGCATGTTGCAGTGCGTCGCTATCCGTGGAGGCTTCTTTCTGCGTGAACAGTCTTGTGCTTCAGCGTGCCCTGTTCTGCTTTGTATAAGTTGCGTGTTTTGATCATGCCCACACGTTGCGTTCCCGGCTGTACAAGTAGCTACAGGAAATGAGACATGTACCATGACATTTTTTTTGTGCCCCGCGTGTACCTGATCAGCGAAAGGCATGGAACCACGCTGTTTCTTGTGCGGATAAGAAACTGCCCAACACATCACGTGTGTGTGATATGCACTTTCATGAGGAGGACATCCTGAAGACTTTCACTCACGTCATCAATGTTAAGAAGGTACAAATCGCAGAGGAAAGTGGGACCTTGTCAAAGGATGCGTTCCACAGATATTGTAACGAAGGTAGCAGCCTCACAACAACGATGTTCTATTTACACGGTTTATTAGGGGCGAGCTTGTGCCCAAAGTGAACGACGCACAGCAATCAAGAAGATCCAAGGGCGGTAGTCCTCGTGAGCCTCTGCCTCGAGCACCCTCGTTCTCTTCTTCTTCTTCTTCACGCGCGTTGGCTGTTCGGCGGAGTACCGGGTGCATGCAGGGCCGGCTCGTGCATTGTGGCTGGTTTCGTCGCTCGTAGTCATGCCGTTAGCGTTTCTCTGGTTCCCAGCGTCCGCGTTGCGCGGAGCAATGGTAATTTCCTGTGGCATTATCCCCCCTCTCAAGAGGCATCGCCCCGATGCTTTCGATGATAATGTATGCAGCGTTTCCGTCTCGGAAGGTTTGTAAGAGGGAAATGGTTGTACAGCAAGCAAGTGGGGTGGCTAGTCTTCGTATCGGTCGTAGTACGGTTTCATGCGCACAATGTGTAC